GATGGTTACATGTGCCCAACTGCCCTTGGCCTGCTCACGGCCTTTTCCACGAGTCTGGCCCAGGTCACCATTCAGATACATTTGCAAAATATGGCCTGGGCCTGGGCGCCTTCAACCAACTGGCGCAGCGCAACTGTCTGAATTTCACCAGTTGCGGGGTACCCTGAAAATCGAGGCCCTGAGGGCCTGTCGCGCCTGCCTTCACTTAAGGCGGCCGACATACTGCAAAAAGGGCCCCGAGGGGGCTGAGCGGGCGTAGCCTCGCATGTTTAATTTCTCGAAAATTGCAATTTTCGTGGGGGGGGAATTTTTTTTTTTGACTAGTGTCAAGCTTCGAGGTCAGGGAAGAAAGGGACTGTCTGTGCATTGTTTACCTCTCTGCCCTTCTTCCACCCCTACCTTCTCTCTCTCCTCCTCTCGGTACTGCGGACATCAGTCTCCGGCCATGTCAGCATTGTGCCACATCAGCAGCAGGCCACGAACGCAGATTGCCACATCATCCGCATGCCACCTCAGCGTGCCACGACAACCGAGTGCCAAATCAGCAGCGGCCACCTCAGCAGGTGCCACCTCAGCGGTGACACGTCAGCAGCAGACGAAGACCAGAGTACTTAATGCGCCGCAGTCAACGGCTTGCGGAGCGCGGATCCGCAGGAACCAAGCCCCAAGTGGGACCTAAGACCCCTCGGATCCCGCGCAGACGACGCACGACCATGGCCGCTACCGCTGACTCAAATGCACAAGCCTGCCCCAAGAGGCCGGTTACCCCTCCCATACCAGTTCAGCAGGCAGATGAACCGCAATTAGCGTTTCTCAAACGTCTCTATCTCTACTCGGAGACCACTGCAGCTGAACTGAGCAAGTGGGAAGAGGAGGAAGCTGCCCGCCAGCAGGAAATACAACGCCAGCTGGTAGAGGCAGAGGCAGCACGTCAGCAGGCCGCAGCAGAAGCTGCAGCAGCCGCACGGTTGCAACAGCAGCAGGTCGAGGCAAGTCGAAACCAAGTTCGTTACCAAGCCACAATGGACCTCACGAAAGACGAAGCCACGTATGGCAGGCTACTTCAACGACAGCATTTCCAAGCAACCAAAGACCAAGAAGAGCCGACCGAGGAAGAGAGCGACAAGGAAGCTACAACAGTATTGATGGAGAACCTGTTGTACACGTGCAACTGGCAGCAACTGCTGGCCATGCGGCAGATCTTCATCCGCTACGAAGCAACATTTCGGACGCAGGAACGGAAGATCACCGCCTTGCAGCACGCGAACAGCCAGCAGCAGGCCATCAGTGACCAGCTGCAGACCACTGTCAACACAGGATTGGCACGATTGTCTGCAGTTGAGTCCACGGGCAGTGCAGTGGCAGACTGCAGCCCAGCTTTGGCCGCGCAGGCCAAGCAACTCGAGGAGCGGATCAACCACGTGGTAACATCCCTCGGTGACATCAGCAAGTTTGCTGGAGCAGCGACAGTCAGCAATCAGCTGCAGACGCTCAGCGACCACGTTCAACAACGACCGGCCGCCGTCGCCAAGGAATGGAAGATGCCGAACTTCAAGATTGAGAAGTTCGACGATTACTACAAGACCGATCCGCTGCAGTGGTAGATGGCATTCAATGCGGAGGCAGACGTACATCACGTCCTACCCGAACGGCGGCTTGACGCATTCTACCTCCAACTCATTGGAGAGGCGCAGGCTTTCATGACACACATGGCCGTCACGCTAGAGTGCACCATCGCCACCCTCCACACCAAGATCACCTGGGAGGAATTCGAGAAGAAATGGAAGACCCTGTTCATGGTCAACAACAACAAACGGCACGCCTTGAACAAGATCTTCCGCATATTCCAAGACCACCAAACATCACGGGAATGGTTGACGGAGTGACAAAGACTCGTCGCCACCCCGGAGTTGAACCTGCCGTTCGACTCAATCCGGGCCGAGTTTTTTGCCCGGTCATGTGACGCCTTGACAACTGCCCTTGGCAGCGAGTTTCAGTATGAGACCTTTGATGACATGATCTCAAAGTCAAGGGAGCTCATACAAGGTAACCGGCGCGTGGACAACGAGGCCCGCCAACAGCCCGGTTACGTGAAGAAAGGCAAAGGTCAGCGGACGCCGCAAGTAGCAGCAGTCCGGCAAGGACCTAGTGAGGACCACGCAGCAGCATCTACATCAAGTGACGGAGATGTGGCGGCAGCGATACCACCGCAGTGCTCAAGACCCCGAGGGGGAAAACATAAGGCGGAACCAGCGTCAGCAGATGGAGCACGACAGCCACCATGGACAAAGTTCGGCATTACCGAAGACATGTTCAAGTTGAGACAAAAATGGGGATGTTGTTTCTGGTGCAACAGCACCAAACACATCACCATCACATGCCTCGGCAAGGACAAGGAAAATGTCAAGTGTCCAAGCTCGGGAAACTGAGCACCGCGGGAAGTGCAGCGACATCACTTCCCAATCCACCGGATTCGGCTGCCTTGCTAGCAGTCTTTCTCACGTCCGGGGATGACGCGGTAGTTGCAAGTTCTCGTATTGATTTTGAGAACTATGTTGTCGAGCTGGTCCCGCCGTTGAACCAGCCTCTCCACGTGCAAGATTCAAGCGCATGCGCGGTAGTTCCGTCGTCGGACAACGAACCGGTTGCTTCCCCAACCCTTCTATCGGAGGATCCGTCAACTTGGGTGAGCCTTGAGGAACTCGACCCGTTGACGGTTGAGGACTTCCAATGGTTGCCTCTTCCCTCCACCGGTTCCTTGCCAACACCACATTGCAAAGCCTTGATGGCACATTTGCGCGAATACATCCGTTGACGGACGGCGAAGTAGCGGTTGTTGATCTTCATAACTATCTAGCGAAGATCCACTGCGAGTACGCAACGGTACGTCGACATCGACGCACCGCTCCTCTACATCCGCATTCAGATCGGAAAGGTGACCTGCAGTGCCTTGATCGATTGTGGAGCGTCTCGCAACTACATCATCCAAGACTTCATGGCACGCGCCGGGCTAGGCCCACGCGTTCGAAGGAAAAGTCAGCCTACGCACGTCACGTTGGCCGATGGTCACACACAAAAGTCAATCGACCGTTGCGTTGACTCTGTGCCCGTGTACTTTGCCCCGCTAGCATGCGAGGCCGTGTCTTTCGACATATTGGACACCAAGTTCGACATGATCTTAGACATGTCGTGGCCGCAAAGCGAAGACCATCCGGTGAACTTTTATCGACGCACCGTTCACGTTCATGATCAGTGGCGAACTAGTCCCATGTACGGTGCCGCTTCCTCATCCTTCGATTGGTTGTCGCGTGGTCTCCGCGGCGAGCATTCGCCAATCCATCCGGCGGAACGACATCGAGGAGATGGGCATATGTTTTCTTCACGCCCTCCCACCCGGTGATCAGCCCAAGACGGATACATCGGACCCACGCATCATTGAGTTGTTGGACAGCTATGAGGATGTCTTCCAAGCTCCCGCTGGAGTAGTACCGGATCGGCCCATACGCCACGGGATCACTCTCGAGGACGGCGCCGTACCTCCGCGCGGATGTATTTACCGCATGAGCGAAGATGAGCTTCAAGTGCTTAGGGCACAACTAGATGACCTCTTGGCCAAGGGCTGGATTCGCCCTAGCTGTTCGCCATACGGTGCTCCCGTTCTCTTCGTCCGGAAGAAGAACAAGGACATTCGTTTTTGCATCGACTATCGGAAACTTAACGTGCAAATGATCAAGAACGTCGGCCCTCTCCCTCGGATCGATGATCTTCTCGAGCGACTAGGCGGCGCCAAGTACTTCTCAAAGCTTGACCTCAAGACCGGATACCACCAGATCGAGATCCAGCCAAGAGATCGGTACAAAACTGCATTCAAGACGCGGTATGGGCACTTTGAGTGAATCGTCATGCCATTCGGTCTCACCAATGCCCCGGCTACTTTCCAAGCGACTATGACGACGGAATTCCGCGACTTGCTCGACCGCACCGTACTCATTTACCTTGATGATATCTTGGTTTATAGCCGGTCGCTGGACGAGCACCTTCGTTCCGTTTTGGAGCGGCTCCGTATCGCCAAGTACAAGGCAAACTGCGACAAGTGCGAGTTTGCCCAGCAAGAGCTGGAGTACTTGGGCCATTACGTTACGCCGCAAGGCATTCGTCCGCTCGCGGACAAAGTACAAGCCATTCAAGATTGGTCGGACCTCAAGTGTACTACCGACGTCCGCTCCTTTCTTGGCTTAGCATCATACTACATGCGCTTCGTCAAAGGTTTTCAACGGATCGCTGCACCATTGTCGCGACTTCAGTCCCCCTTGGTGCCCTTCGAGTTCAACGACGAAGCCCGGCACGCGTTCCATACGCTGAAGACGGCTTTGCTCCAAGCTCCCGTCTTAAGCATCTATGACCCGACCTTGCCTACCAAAGTGATTACGGACGCTTCTGGCTACGACATCGGTGCGGTTTTGGAACAGCATGACGACACAGACTGGCATCCGGTTGAGTACTTCAGCCAAAAGGTGTCGCCCATCAATACACTTGATGAGGTGAGGAAGAAGGAACTGCTAGCTTTTGTCACCATACTTAAGCATTGGCGTCACTTTCTCCTCGGGCGTCGGCGATTCACGTGGACAACGGACAACAATGCCTTGACTTATTACAAGACGCAAGACACGGTGAGCAGCACGATCGGTCGGTGGATGTACTTCATTGACCAGTTCGACTTCACCTCCAAGCATATACCGGGCTCCTCGAACAAGGCAGCGGATGCTCTCTCACGAAGACCTGATTTTTGCGCCTTGGTGCACTCCACATTCGGCCTCGACGAGGACCTGCAACAACATTTTGTAAACGGGTACAAGTCAGATCCGGGATTCTCCACACTCTATGCGGACTTATCATCGGATCACCCGCCGGCAAGCAATTACTGCATTGTCGACGGCTACTTGCTTCTCCATACACGAGGCAAGGACTTGTTGTGTGTTCCCCAAGACCGCATCTTGCCCACTCGCCTCCTTGGCGAATACCACGATTCGCAGTTGGCGGGACACCTTGGCGTCGCACGCACACTAGCACGACTCCGCCAACGATTTCACTGGCCGGACATCATCAGCGACGTCAATCGGTACATTCAGTCATGTGCAGTTTGCCACCGGAACAAAGGGCGCCATCAGCTCCCGTACGACGAACTGAAACAGTGTCGATTCCTCAAGAACCAGGTCTTTCCATTGCTATGGATGTGACCGGTCCTTTCCCTCGCGATCGCCTTGACCGTTTGAGCAAGTACGATCGATTTCTTCCATGCAAGTATCATGCGACGGCTCCCGAGCTCGCACAACTTTTGCATACCGGCTGGTTTTGCAGCCACGGCGTTCCGGAAGATATCGTTAGCGACCGCGACACTCGTTTCATGTCAGCCTTTTGGACGACACTCATGGTGGAATCCGGCACCAGCATGAAACCGAGTTCCGCACGACATCCTCAAACGAATGGGCAAACGGAACGTGCGCACCAGACTGCGCAGATGATGCTCCCGCACACTCATCCGCCGGATCAGAAGGACTGGGTTGACCGCCTTCCCGACATAGAGTTCGCCTACAACACTTCGGTGTACCCGACGATTGGCGTGACTCCATTCGAGTTGCATCACGGTGGACGGAAAGGACGTATCTTCGCAGACATTTTGCTTCCACGGGCTGCCGATATTGACGCCGCTTGCTCCCCCGCTTCTACACGGAAGTACAGGGAACTGCTGGCCAAAGCCCGCGCAAACATGCAAAAGGCTCAGGTCCGTATGCAGCAGCAAGCAAACCGGCGTCGCATCCCATGTACCTGGTTTGGGTCACCTCCGAGGAATCCACGCTCGAGCAACACGTCTCGCGCAAGCTCCTCCCTAAGTGGTTTGGGCCATGGAAGGTCACTTCAGCAGCTGGCAACGACCCTGCGGGTCCATCTTTCATCATCGAGATCCCCCGCATTTGATGGTCCACCCGATATTTCACGCTTCAAAGCTGGCGGTCTACACTCCAGCCTCCCCAGCGGAGTTCCTGGGAAGACGGTCACAGGACCCTCCTTCAATGGATGGTCATCAAGAGGTCGACCGCGTCCTCGCTCATCGCAAGCACGGCAACAAGCCAATGCAGTACAAAGTTACATTCAAGCAATGCCATCCCGACGACACACGCTGGATTTCACGAGCTGACCTGAAGGGGACAGCACCCCTCATCTTCGCGCATTACGAAAGACAGCGACTTGCTAAGGAAGCTGCCCAACCTGCCCACCCCGTACGGACATCGGACAGACAGCTTCGCCCTCGCAGTTAGCTCGGTCTTCAAGGGGGGGATTGTGTGGCATACTGATACCACACGGGCCCCAGTTAGGGCCCGGTTCTGAAATAGGCTCAGTTTAGGTCTAGGAACAGGTCACGACGGCCCAGTTTAGGTCCAGGTAGACCTAGGACCCGTCGGTTCCGTTTTAGGGTCCGGTAGGCCTCCATTAGACCCCACCAGACCCAACAGCTAGTTTTAGGCCAGGTACTGGTTCATCGGTAGGCCCAGCCGCCGGCGCAGTTTTGGCGCCCAGTTTCAGATTCGAAATCGGATCTGAACCGTTGGGCCTGATCAACGGTCCAGACCCGAACAGCTGGGTGCCAGCCTCAGTCGGTAGGTTAGTAGAGAGGAGTTAGTCTTCAGGATTAGCGCAGCGTTTCAGCGTTAGCAAGATTAGCGCAGCGCAGCAGCGTTAGTGTGAGCAGCGAGGAGAGATCAGTACAGCGGCGAGGAGGGACCCGCGCAGCAGCGGAACAGCACCAGCCACCAGCCCAGCCCGCGTCTTGCGCCAGTCTCCTGCAGCGCCATAGCTACCGGGTCAGGTATCAGGGAGGAAGGCCTTGCCTTCTCTCCCTCTTCCTCCTCCGCCACTCTCTCTCTCTCTCTCTCTCTCTCTCTCTCTCTCTCTCTCTCTCTCTCTCTCTCTCTCTCTCCTCCTACCTTCTAAGTCTAAGTCCACTCCTGGTTACTCCTACGGGACTACTACAAGTATGAAAGGTGGTTACGAATTCTGATGACATTGGAGACAGCGACATTGGGACTATAGGTTGAGGACTACTTGTGGGATCTGATTTCATCTTCCTCTGGAGATGTACTTGACATTGTGAGATCGATATCTGAGACATTGTAAGACACTGTATTCGCGACATTTCGGATTTTCGCCACCTCTGACATTTCAAGATACTATCTTTGGAAACATTGAGTTGACGTCATCTTCCCTGTTATCCTCCCTTCGTCTCTCTCCTCCCTCCATTCGTCCGTGGATGATCTCAGACCCTGGCCTTTCGTCTATGTCTAAGGCCAGGGCTTTCACACCCCTGATGTATGATTGAGAGTGTTCGATTGCAGTCCGAGTCAGGTACGAGTCAGTCCATGTATCTCAAGTCTTCCACTGTATTTGTATCAACTCGGTATTATCTGGTTGGTTCTGGGAATCTGCGCCATACTTATGACTGTGTTTCACGAGAATGCAACAGCAACCTTCGTCAGCGAACTTCGTTTTCTCACTCCCTCTCTCTCCCTTTCTCTCACTCTTCCCCTCGCTCCCGTTTGCGCTCTCTCTGGTCGACACTCCGGAGTACTCTCTCTCTCTCTCTCTCTCTCTCTCTCTCTCTCTCTCTCTCTCTCTCTCTCTCTCTCTCTCTTCCACGGAGGTCGCTTCGAGTGCGTCGCGCCCCCGCGCGTGACCGCGCGATGGCAGAGCCGCTGGCTGGCGTGCGCGTGACCCGACGGCAGTGTGAGCGTGTGAGCGCTAGCACGTTTACCGGCGGCGGAGGTGCAAAAAATCAGTGCCAAGGTTTCTTCACCTACCCCAACTGGTCATTTCCGTTTTCCCTGCTAATCCCTAAATCCCTTGTATCCCCGGAAGATCGTTGACCCGGGTGCAGCCCCCGCTTTGTCCTCTGCCCTCTCCTAACTAACTCGATGCCAGGCTGAGGCTCGGGGTGGGGGGCATACTGTGAACCGACTTTTGTCCCGGGCCTGATGTGTCCCGGCTTGGTTCTGTCTCCATATGAGGTGAATGTGACCATCCGTCAACGAGCCTATTCTCCAAGTTCCCATACTTTACTGATGAAGTTTCATCGGATCTCCCGAGTCTTGTCGGGGTTGTCGCGCATCTGTCTCTTCGTTCTGCTCCAGTCCGTCTCGTACGCTGTCTCCAGCAGAGGAGGAGGAGGCCCTCCCAGGCTTGCATCTCCTCGCATTTTCTGTTGATTCCTGACATCTTCGCTTCCATATGCCCATGCTGTGAACAGCCTCAGTCTCTGGAGGAGTTCTCCCTGGTAACTATCCACGTTCTTGGGGATCACGAAGCCTGTCAGCAGTGGTGGTCTAATTTTCAGGGCCAAGAGAATGCCTGGACTCGTAACTGAAGAAATGCAAACAATGAGTGGGGTTGAGGAGAGCAGAGAACAACAGTGTGAGACTCGAACTGAGTCTTGGACAAAAGTGCTCAAACATTGTAGCAATCGCTGCATCTTATTATAATTTCACTTTTTGAGGAGACATTGCAGGGCAGAGAGTGAAAACAGACCTGGACATTGTAGGGCAAAGAGTGAAAACAGACCTGGACATTGTAGGGCAAAGAGTGAAAACAGACCTGGACATTGTAGGGCAAAGAGTGAAAACAGACCCGGATCTCTGGGATACACCAGTTAAAATTGAAAAAAGCTAAAGAGCTGTTCAGATGCATGCCAACCAGAGTCCCAAGGTCAAAGCTCGAAAATGCGTGAAACTGATATGCTTGAACACTTTCGCATTCACAAGGCGTAAAACTTGTATGTCTGAACTATCCACCCTCATAAATGTTTCTTAGCTGTTCTTCACTATGGCGTGAATTGCCATGTTGGGACTTGGATTACCTGAGATGGTATCTTGGTCTTTCCAAAGAAAACCCATCAGTCCTCGCGTAAAGATTCTTAAAGCCTTAAATTGTTTTTCCTTCAGCTGTTGGTAGGATCCAGATGCATAAATAATAGATGGAGGGGTTGTTCGGCCTTCTTCCCCTTCGGAACTGCAAGGTCTTTTCCATTTGTTGGAGCCCCATTGGACAGTGCCACCAGTTTATAGTCAGACTATTCCATGCTATTAGGAACTACTATGCCAGCAATTATCGCAGGGGAATTGACAAATCTTCTCGTGTTCTTCTTGATGATGATGGCAATTTACACAGGGTCACATCCCAGCAGGTGACGAGTCATGTTTTTCCTCATATGCAGAGCGTTATGCAATGATTGTTGAGAGATTCCAGCACACAATTGTTGCTCAAATCTTTGGACACACTCATAGGGATGAGTTCAAGGTTCTTCACAGCATGCTAAATCATTCTGGTAAGTGCCTACCTCTCGGTCTTCTGAAATGCTCCATTTTAAGTATTTTGTTACGGTTCTCTCCCAGCCTCCACCCCTGGACCTCATGCTGTGTTCGGGACACTTCTTTTCTGGCATGTCCTCGATACTCCCACGCTTACATTCCTCTGATACCAGTGTTAGCTGCACTGGATCCAGTGAGGGAGAGGAAGAGGGGGTGCGCACACACACTCATACGCAACGGCTGCTGCTCAACTCAAACTCTTATGCAACCCAAACACTGGATGGCCTCATGTTCCACTCTAGAGTAGTCTGCTCCAGCGGTGAGTATTTAGAACCCTGTGAGAACTCCACCTCTGTTTCCTTCCTCCTTCCTTTTCTGTGCTGCTAGTAAATGTATACAGATGAGCATCATTAAAAGAACAGGCAAAATATAAGCTGAAGATCTGAGGGCATCATTTACTCTGCCTCCTTTCATCGTGTGCAAGTGGGCCATTATGGCACACGGGGATGTGGGAAGCTCACACTCAACCACAATCAACGTGGCGAGCCTTGTACATTAGAGGCACAGCAAAAGGGGAGGTGCGAGGACAAATGAAATGGGTATGAAAAAGCCTAAGAGAACACAGTTAAGAAAGGGATTTAAAGTTTAAACACTTCTATTATGCTCTGTGTTGCTTACCATAAAGGTAAAACTGTTTCATTGTTGGATTGTCTCAATTCCTACTCATCTCGGTGGAATAGGGGCTGTTGTGGTGAAAATTCAAAACACACAACTCGGACTCTCACGCACGGTTCAACTGAGACGATGAGGGGACACTCCTTGAAGAGAACCAGCAGCAACTCAATGTCTAACTCACATACAAGTGGTCAGAAACAGAGTACATATACATGGCAACAACTGAACCGCTAGGCTGGTCCCAGGAATATGTCCAGAATAAGTTCGTACCCGAGGGTTACCGATAGAAATGTTATTGAGTGCAAGTTCAAGACCACTGCCGCGCAGCAGGGCTGCACAAGGAGTAGCTTTCCATCGCTGTCTTCAAGACTTCCACCACACCTGTTCGCCATTATCATTTGTTTCAACAGCATTGTTGATTCGCAAGGACTGCCTCTGTCATTGAGGGGTATCTCCCCCCATGTGCATGTGCAAGGAGGGACCTTTCTTCTATGTATGCGGTCCCTCCTCTTTCTCACACATGTGAGGTGTATGATGGGGTGTTGCGTCAGTATCTGACAGGTCAGATCATAACTTGAGTCTTCCGTTGCACTACATTGTGCTATTTCCATATGTATCTGGATGTACATTGCTCGTTGATGCTTGGCTGACACTGCATTGTCCATACGAGTCCTTTTCATCACTTTGCGGATCCTTGGCTCCCATACATCGCCCGATTAGGCATGTACCACAGGTGAGAGGGATCTTCCCCGGATTGATCACGTGGCCCTGCTGAGACGGGTTGGGGGCAAGCTTTCATCCCACCGGGATCTGCCGTTTTGACTGTCTCGTTGAGTTTAGCCATTGAATGCAGATAAGATTGCCAGCACCATCGTAATTAAAAAAAACAAAACAAAAAAAACAGGCAAGAACCCCCCATATCCCCCCCGTAACCCCCCTAACACCCGCATAACCCGCCTCCAACACCCCCATACCCCCC